CTTACCACTACCCATGAAGCTCCACCCTAAACCCTAAACCCTAAACCCCTAAACCCCTAAACCCCTAGACCCTAGACCCTAAACCCTAAACCCTAAACCCTAAACCCTAAACCCTAAACCAAGCAGGGCTCGCTCAAGGGATCTTAAAGTCGTTCTGGAGCCTGCAACACTCGCTTTAGGACGAGAAGAACCCCAAAAGATGTTCAGGTTCATATACCATACCCTAAGGGTCCAAAGGACCTAATAATCATATACTTGGGTTACGGATAGTAGTTTTGTAGGTTAGTGCTCAGAAGAGTATATGATTATTAGGTACTTGGAACCTTTGGGATATAGGGATTCATAGTATCAGGGTACAGGGCCCCTACTTTTAAGGGTCTTTTGGCCCTTAAGGTATCGAGACTTTGCAGGACCAGAGACAGCGGGTGCGCCTGCACTGGAGAAGCCGTGAGGTTGCGGCTGCAGATGCTGTTTGCGGTTCGACTTTTGTTTGTGAACTTCTTCCGCCCATGATGAGACTTGCTTAAACCGCCCAAAGTAAGCAAAATCATGGCCAAAAGTACGTAAAATCATGGCCCAGACATCTATAAACCCTAAGCCCTAAACCCTAAACCCGAAAATGCGGTGTTTCTACAGGCTTTAGGGGATCTAGGTCAACTCTAAGGCCGCTACAGTTGGACTCCCTGCAGAGCCAAAGCCCCATAAGGGTTCGATAACAGGGGTTAGGGTTTAGCTTACTCAAGGGTTCGATGTAAGGTTCTATACTAGGGGCTAGGGTTTTGGGCTTAAGGGTGCTATATAAGGTTCTATAATAGGGTTTGGGGTTTAGGGGGTTCTATAGTAGAGTTTAGGGCTTAGGGGTTCTATGTAAGGTTCTACAGTATGGTTTAGGATTTAGGGTTTTGGGGTTCTATATAAGGGTTCTGTAGTAGGTTTTTAGGGTTTAGGGTTTACGGGTTCTATTCAAGGGTTCTATAGTAGGTGTTAGGGTTTAGGGTTTGGGGGCTCTATATAAGGGTTCTATAACGTGCGCGGGTTGGCCAGTCGCAGCTTGAAGGAAGCACCCCTGTGTTTCGTTGTAAGCTCAACTCGACTAGCTACTAAGAGGGAGCTTTCCTGACAAGTCGTCTTGACAATCTTCTGACATCAGACACCCGACCACCCTAAACGTGCCGAAAAACCCTAAACCGTCCCACTTTGTTGGATTTCTGTCATCTTGAGGTATTCTGGTGCTACGAAGAGAGGGGCTGGCGATAGGGTTCACAGGGTTTCGTGGAGGGGACCTCGGTGGGCTTGCAAGATGAGACTATAGGGGCCCAATGGGGTCTCCTTTGAGGGATCCTTTAGGGTTTAGGNNNCCCCCCCCCCCCCGCCCCAACAAAAATAAAGCTTTAGTCGACTTCGCAAGGCCCACTAACACCGTATAAAACCCAATCAAACCCCTATGATGGAACTTTCCTACCTTAAACTAAACCCTACAGAAACCCTCACCAGTGGCTCCTTGAAGGAACCTATGTAGGCAAGTTTAACGGAGCCCTAAAAACCCTAAACCCTAANNCTAAACCCTAAACCCGAAACCGAAGCCCTAAAAGAAACCTCTAAAGGAACCCTTGGCCGTTTGGAACGGAACGCAGGCGTCGGAGAATGGCAGCTCTCGTGCCGCCGCGGCCTTCCTTCTTCGTGCTAAGGGTCCATGTTTAGGGTTTAGGGTTTAGGTTTAGGGTTTAGGGTTTAGGGTATCTATCTGTGTAATGTGCATATGCATACATATCCAGATATATGTACACAGATAGGTAGATAGATCGACAGGTAGACATTAACAGGTAGATACATATGCAAATATGCAGATAGCTATCGATGTATCTACAGATAGATAAACAGATAGTGACCTTAGGCCGAAGTATCTACTATGAAAGCTTCCGATGCAGAGAATAGTCTTGGAAGGCTCAGTATGGGTCTGTTCCAAGTTGAGCGCTTCAGTCCTGCACTACAACATGATATAGGTTGAGACCTAGAACATCTACTGCGCTGTGAGTAGTTTCGTTACTACGTCGTGTAGTATGAAGCCCTAAACCCCTAAACCCTAAACCCTAAACCCTAAACCCTAAACCCTAAACCCTAAACCCTAAACCCTAAACCCTAAACCCTAAACCCTAACCCTAAACAAAACCCTAAACCCCTGTACCTAGTAGTCGTTACTCCGACAGGTGGAGCTCTGAACCTCCAAGCCTGATGTTGCCAAAACGGCTGATCCCGGGTTTAGGGTTTAGGGTTTAGGGTTTATGGTCATCGGCCATGACCCATTGCCGCCAAATTAACTTAGTGGCCTTAGCAACTAGAATGGTGCTTGACGGTGAAGGTTTATAGAGTGTAGGGTTTTGGGTAGGTATAGGCTGAAATAGTACTGTCAGGGAACGTCTCAGGTCCAAGCCGAAACCACAAGAGTTCAGAGTTTTGGATTGGAGGCTCAAGTGCCTAAACCCTAAACCCTAAACCCTAAACCCTAAGCCCTAAACCCTAAACCCTAAACCAAGTCTGGGGGCCTTAACTTAGGGGCTTTTTGGAGGTTTACAGTCCTTACCTAAGCGGGCTTTACAATTGTCCACAGTCGGTTCAAGATGGGGACTATACTGGGCATAGGGTTTAGGGTTTCGACTTCGTTCGACTTACCTCACATCCCCGAGCCAGAGGCCACTTATTCGCATAGGTACCGAACATTGAGGTTTCACAGTTTCTGTGGTACATCACGCTACCTGAACCCTAAACCCTAAACCCCAAAACCCTAAACCCCTCAACCCTAAAACCCTAAACCCTAAACCCCTCAACCCTAAAACCCTCAAACCCTAAACCTCTAAACCCTAAAACCCTAAACCCGTAAACCCTAAACCCTCAGCCCTAAGCCCCTCACTCCTTCATGCCTTGGTGGTGTGCACAAAGTTGGATGGCTCTTTGCATGTTTGGGGTTGGGCTTCCGGGTTTGGGGTTTAGGGGTTTAGGGTTTAGGTCATTCTGATTCGTTTGTGTTCGACCGTCGACAGTACGGTTTGGACAGATACCTGATACCATTGGCTTCAATGGCATTTTCTGTTCGGTGTTGTAAGGAGGCTGTAGGCCGGCACCGTGCATGAGCGCTAAGTGTAAGTGTAATGCATACCACACCCTTCACCCTGTGCGCAATACAGGGGGCCTAAGCAATTACCAGTATTACTCGGGCTTTCTTACTCGATTCATCGTATAAATATTAGGGCCCCTGCAGTAACCCACAATTGGGTCCGCAGCCCCTAGCACGCTTTGATCCAAGCCCCGCGACCCAGAATCCACGATGCCACAACTTCAAAAACTGGCATTCTGACCCCTGAAATACTCCCTAAACCCTAAACCCTAAACCCTAAATAAACTCACAACCCTGAACCTTAAGCCTTCATCTCTAGGCCCCTCCTGCAGGAGAGGATGACTTAACAACTACGTTCTAGGGTTTAGGGTTTAGGGTTTTAAAGAGGGTTTAGGTTCAGGGTTTTAAAGAGGGTTTAGGGTTTAGGGTTTTAAAGAGGGTTTAGGGTTTAGGGTTTTAAAGAGGGTTTAGGGTTTAGGGGTTTTCAAGTACTTACTTCGAGCTGTCTGGGTTACATAGCACCCTGTAACTCTGTAAACCCCAGCTACCTAGGCCTTGATAGGGAGGGCTCTGGGGTTTGGGGTTTAGGGTTTAGGGTTTAGGGTTTAGGGTTTAGGGTTTAGGGTTAAAGCCCTAAACCCTAAACCCTAAACCATGGCTCAGGCGTGGTATGTGAGCAGCGCCTTTTCCCCTTGGGAGCCAACGGCACGGAGCCTGGCTGTGGGCTTTTTACCAGTGACGTAGGGTTCTTGCTTTGGAGTGGAAGCCAGAAAAGAGCACCCCTATGGTTTCGGGATTAGACCTATAAACCCTAAACCCTAATATAGCATTCCTGAACGAAGGGTTTCAATAATGGTAGGGTTGCATCGATTGGTAGGGGTGGATACCCTCATTTCTGGGCCTCTTTCAGAGGAAGAGATCAGAGATGTCTGTATATTTATATTCATGTATGTGTATACACACAGAGCCACCAAGGTTATCTGTGAGTCTAGAGTTCCAAATTCTTCAACACATGTTAAAACCACGAGCCCCCAAGCAAACCCGAAACCGTAGCGCCCCAACTCAACTACCAATCCGCTGTGGGATCGGGAATCAAAAAGCCTAAGCCTTAAGCCCTAGTTCCTAAACCCTAAACCCAAGGGTTCAGGATTGTCAGAACCAGCTCGCCGATTGGATCCAAGGGTTTGGAGGGAATTGGAGGGCGGTTTTGAAAGGTCGCGGTTCCTTTCCCACCTTGAACCCAAACCCTAATCTCGGGTTTCGGGTTTAGGGGTTTAGGCTTTACCCTAAACCCCCAAACCCTATACCCTAGAAGCACTGTGACTAAACCCTAAGCTCAGAGAGACCGAGATTTAGGGATAGTTTATAGGGCTCAGTAGTCGACGAGTAGGCTACACACAGCTCGAGCCCGTGAGGTTCACCTTTATTTCCCTGAAAAAGCTGGACAAGTAGGAAGTACACACCCAAAGCCCTAAACCCTTAAGCCCTAAACCCTTAAACCCTTTCACCCCTTAGCCCTTAAGCCCCTCAGCCCTAAAAGTGCGTTATGGCCCCTATCCTCCCATTACGCTTCGGAAAAGCCGAGGCTGCAACCCTCCACCCCCAAACGGAGGACCCGAATTCCTAAACCCTAAACCCTAATTCCTAAACCCTAAACCCTAGACCCTAAACCTTAAACCCTAAACCCTAAACCCTAAACCCTAAACCTAAACCCTAATTCAAAGCTTCAAGCCCACCTGCGGGTTCTGGAAGAAGCTCTAAGCCAGAAGCCCGAACTCCCAAACCCTGAACCCTAAACCCTAAAGGGTTTAGGGTTCAGGGTTTAGAGTTTAGGGTTTTGGGTTTAGGGTCCTTAAGAACCCCAAACCCACTGTTTTGTAGGTTCTTATTATAAACTCTAATATGGGACTTACAGGGACCTGTTGAATCCTAGGGTTGAAGCTGAAGTCCTCACGAGCTCAGTCTCCCAAAGGGATGTTGACCCTAAACCCTAAACCCTAAACCCTAAACCCTAAGCCCTAAACCCTAAACCAAAAACCCTAAACCCTAAACCCTAAACGTTGGTACACTTCTCGATTTGTGCAGCAAACCAGTGGATCCCCAGGGCCTTCACCAAAGAACTGAGCTTCTGAGGGTTTAGGGTTTAGGGTTTAGGGTTTAGGGTTCTACGGCTCAGTTCCAGTCCATGAACCCTCAAGAGACCCTACCTTTCTTCAGCCACACAACGAAGTAAGCAACCTTCTATACAAGTGCATCTAGGACTGAAATGTACAAGAGCGTCCTACACTAAGGTGCTGTAAAACTGTGAAAGTGTGTCGACCCAAGGCATAATTCCGAAGCCAAGCCTGGAGCCGAAAAGACACACCCTCAGACATTCGAAAAAGGGGCAGAAGAGGGGCTCCTATTTCTACAGGACCCTACAAAAAGTAGGTTTGGGGTTCTTAAGGTATACCCTAGACCCTGAACCCTAAGCCCTGAATCCTATACCCTAAACCCTGAACCCCAATGAGGCCTCTGTCTGCGAGACGCTGGGATGCGAGGCAGGGTATTGCTGCCATCTTGGGATCAGAGCTTCAGGGTTTCGGGGTCGAGGGTTTTGTGCGGGTTCTGCAGAGAGAGAGAGAGAGAGAAAAAAAAAACTAAATATGAATAGGCATATATATATATATACACACATACATATGTGTGTATGCACATGTAATGTCGTACACTTACATATAAATATATATATATATATATATATATTTATTTATTTATTTATTTATTTAATCATTTACATATTTCTGTATATATATACACATGTGTATGCACAGAGGTATGGAAATTGTGTATTTTCTTGCAGTCGCAGGCTTCAAAGGTTTAGCACGTTCATGGTGTGAGGATTTGGGGTTCACCGTTTGGTTTAGGGTTTGGGGTTAAGAGTTAAGGGTTCAGAGTTTAGGTTTTAGGGTTTAGAGTTAAGGGTTTAGAGTTTAGGGTTCAGGGTTTGGGGTTTAGAGCTAAGGGTTTAGAGTTTAGGGTTTAGGGTTTAGGGGAGGTTCAGGTTTCAGGATTGAAGAGTTTTGGTTGGGGGTTTGAGGTCAGTGGCTTTGCTGTCTCAAGCACAGTCTTTAGGGTCTAGGGGTTTGGGTTTAGGGTTTGGGGTTTGGGTTTAGGGTTTAGGGTTAGGGTTTAGGGTTTAGGGTTTGGGGTTTAGGGTTTAGGGTTTATTTAGGGTTTAAGTTTAGGGTTTAGGGTTTACGGTTTCGGTTTAGGGTTTGGGTTTAGGGGTTAGGGATCTAGGGTGAGGGACCAGGGATGGTGGATACGGGAGGAGCCCGTGATCATTCAAGGTGACCCTCTACTTCATCCTCAATAGAACCCTTACAAAACCCTATATTCTGTGGTAGAACCAGGATAAGATACTTGTTACCCCCCATAATTCCTGTGGACCCCTGTAAGAGATTTCTGGGTGCCAAGCTTCTCATTGCCAGGCCGTGGATTGGGTGTGGAGCGGTCTCAATGCGTCGATTCTGTCGGTGGGCCTTCAGGCCTATGCGCCTCTGGTGACAGAGGTTTCTCATGCACTTTCGAAGCTTAGGCCAAACCTTACACCTTCAACCAAAACCTTGAAAGGACTTCGGGTTTAGGGTTTAGGGTTCAAGGTTGGGAGGACTCTGGGTGTTGGGATTGTTTGACCTTAGCTTTCTAATGCAGACAGAGTAACTTAGAGGTCTGAATAGGTACCACGAGTATATTCCCCTTTCTTTGTAGTTTCTCTAGCATCATGCAAGACGGTATCCCAAGACCCTGTTCTAATTGAAAGGCCGTGAATTAATCAACCCTAAGCCCTCAACCCTAAACCCTAAAACCCTAAACTCCCTAAAACCCTAAACCCTCAACCCTAAACCCCTAAAGCCCTAAACCCGAAACCCCAAACTCTAAAAACCCTAAACCCTAAAACCCTCAACCCCTAAAGCCCTAAACCCGAAACCCCAAACTCT